GTTTGTTCAAATCATTACCCCAATGGGTAGGGTGGGGCCACAGTGGAGGATCAAAGTTTTACATAAAATCTACTTCTCAAGAACAAGAAAGCTATAATTATTCATAATTGTATGGAAAAAATGTAAGTTTGTTCAAATTATGACCATTGAGGGTAGGGTGGGGCCACAATGGGCTATCAAAGTTTACACAGGAACATATGGGAAAATCTGCAGATGAAAAACAGCATGCAGGGTCACAGTTGCTCGGGTGAGCATTGTGGCCCATGGGCCTTTGTTTAATAGTTAGATTTGATTTACTATCATTTTAATGTTTATTTTGAAAAAAAAAACATTTGCAAGAAAAGATATAGCATTGCATGATTAGGTATTTTCAACACAAAAAGTATTTATCAGTAGTTTTTCTCCAAAAGTACATGTAATACATGTAGCTAATGAAATTTGAATAAAAAATTCTTTTTTGCAGAAATTCCCCAACAATGAAGAACTCCTCAGAAATATGATGGGTCTTATGGTAAGTTCTAGAATACAAAACTGTGTGATGATTTTAACATTTCTCTAATTAATTGATTCATTACTGGGTTCCCCAGATAAGTGATTACATTGTTTTTAAGATTTTCTGTTTAGCCTGAGTATTTTTATTAGGTCACCTGAGTTACTTTGTTTTTGTCCATCTTCATCTGTCATTCGTTGGTCATAAAATTTTGAACATTTTCAGCTTCTTCTCATAAACCACTAAAACAATTTTAACCAATTTTATTGTAGAGCATATTTGGGAAAAGGGGGACAAAAATTGTGAATTGCATGAACCCCATACCCATAGGGCCTAAGCAGGGGATTAAAATCATCAAAATTATTGCAAGCTTTAAAAATCTTCATTTTTTATCCTGGATATCAATCAATTGTAATAAGCATTGGGCCCTCTACCAAAATTGTTAATTTCATGACCACAGGGTCAGGTGTTCTGGAGTAAGGGGGAGGGGGGGGGGGGGGGGGGCTCTGATGATCATACGGTGAAAATGCATAATTTTTTTAAAAAGCTTTTTCTCTCTCCCTTTATATTTAGCAGACAAACTAAGTACATGGTTGTACTAAGAAAGGTTGCCTCTTCCAAAATTGTGAAATTTATAGCCCCTAGGTCAGGGTTTTGGTGCTAGGACTGGGTTCTATTGATTTATAGTGAAAGTACATAATTTCCTTGAAAATCTTCTTCTCAACTCCAGGGTATTAGTCAAACAAACTAAGTGCATGGTTATGAAGAGCAAAGATGCCTCTTCCGAAGCTGTTAGTATCATGGTCCTGAGGTCAGGGGTTCTGGTGTGAATGTTGGGCTCTATTGATCATATACAATGTAGTTAAAATGCATATATTTTTTTAAAAATATATATATTTCTCTCTCCCTTTATACTAAGTGTATGGTTATGACAAGCTAGGGTGCCTTTTCCAAGATTGTGAAATTTGTGACCCCAGGGTCAGGGGTTCTTGTGTAAGGGTGGTGATCTATTGATTACATAGTGAAAAATGCATTATTCGAAAATCTTCTCTGCTCCTGGGTATGAAGCAGATAAACTAAGTGCATGTTTATGATTAGCAAGGTGCCTCTTCGAAAATTGTGAATTTGATGGCCCCTGGTTCAGGGGTTCTGGTATTATGGTGGGGCTCTATTGATTGTTTAGTAAAATCACATTAATTCATTGAAATTCTACTCTCTTTTCTCTGCTTTTGGGTTATTAGGAGAGAAAGATAAATTAAGTGAGGAAAGCTGCCTAATCCAGAATTGTGAAATTCCCAGCCCCTGGTCAGGGTTCTGGTATTAAGACAGGACTCTTATACAGTTGAACTTCGGTATCTTGAACACGGAAATCTCGAATACCACTGATATGTCAAAGTGATTGGGAAATCCTAACCACATATTTCTTAAATATTTTACCCTTGATATCTCGAACCCTGGGATATCTCGAAGTTTTTCTTGGTCCCATAGAGTTCGAGATAACAAGGTTTGACTGTATAGTGAAAATGCATTAATTCTTTGAAAATCTTCTCTGCTCTTGGACATCTAGGAGGCAAACAGAATACAAAGTTGTAATGAGAAAGGACCTTTTTACCAGATTTGTAAATTTTTCCATCACTGGGTTTAGTGTTCTGGTGCTTGGCTGGGCTGTATTGATCTTGTAGGGGAAATTGTACTCCACTGAAACAAGATATTCCCCTTTGTTATTCACCTATGATAAATAATCACTATAAATAATGTAATTGATAGGTCATTTGAATGAAAGAATTATTCTAATTCAAGATTAAATTTTAATTTATAATACGAAAATTAAATTTATAGTTTTTAATGCTCAGGTAGACAAAAACGAGACAAAAATATACTTATACATGAAATATTCTTCAAAAAAATATTAGAGGTCAATGTTAGAGAATGTATTGGGTTTACAACATGTACTCAAGCATCATTGTAATGTTTAGTTTGCATGGTGTAAGTGGGTAATTGGATTTTTTAGCACTGGCAAATGCATTCAAGTAACTTGACATAAATGATTTGTTATACTGAGTACTGGACAATATTTTGTTTATCCTGATCATCCTATTTCTCTTGGTTTTGGGCAACATATCTTCATCTTTAACTTTATTTTTGTTTTATATTACTCTTTCTGACAGTGTTGTATTCTACTCAGGTGACCATTAAGGCCCTTGGGCCTCTTTTGACACTGTTCAGTTCTAAAAATTAGAAATATATTTATACTTGTATAGAGATATGGGATACATGTACATAATTATGCAAGAGTTGACTGAAGAATTTTATGATTTGATCTTTTCAGGGAAATATAGCTGAAGTTAAGGAACTTAGAAAGCAACTTATGAGGGGAGATTTCTTGATCATGTTCTGGCAAGTCTATTTAAATTGGATCAGTTTTTCAGATCAGCATATAATACTTTTAAAAAGACATATGTTGACTATTCAAAAATAGAAAATAGAAAAAAAAGGACGATATATTAAAGATAGACATTAATTATATACATGTACTGGCAAGTGGAAAACCTCATCACACTTTTATTTCTAGTGAGTTAATGGAGTCAGAAAAAGATGGGATAGAAGTAAGCTACAATGCTGTAGGAATATTTTCCCACATCACAGCAGATGGGAATGAAGCGTGGACAGTCATACTTCCGACCAGGGCTCAAGTAATGATGAGGATGATCAAAGCCATAGAGAGGTGGCCGCTAGACAGCAAGAGGAATATAAACTACAGGTAACATCTCCCAAGTCGTGGTGGATACCATCAACTTGGCTTCTGTCTGTCTGAAAAAATATTAAAGACACATGATTATAGAGCCTTTGTAAAAATTTTGTGTGGTTTAGAAATTGTTCAATATCTTTTTTTCTTGACTGGAAACTTTTGTTGATGATTTATGCAGTAAATATATAATATTTTCCTTAAAGATAGAAAATTAAAGAAGAAATCAAGACCTGTCATCCAAAAGTTTTAAAATCCAAAATACATTGAGTTCAGATATTAAATGATTAAAATTTATAGTTTTGCTTTGACTTTTTAAAATTGATTTTTACCAACTTTAATTTCCATTTGTCACTCCACAGTGTAGAGTTTCCATTATAATTTTTTCTTACAGGTCATTTGGGCCAATATTAAATCTTCTGAAGACTTCTACCCCAGCTGCACAGTACTGGGCAGTATGGGCCCTGTGCAACCTAACCAGGGTTTATCGTGAGTATACTTTGAAGCCTAAAGTTAGGAAGCTTCCACGCAAGTTTCCTATTTTCTGGATTTTTGGTTCTTTTTAAATAACTCATCATTTTTTAAAAATTTTTTGCCTCTTCTTGAAAGGGGGCGTGGCCCTTCATTTGGACAAATTAAAACCCTAGGCGTTAACCAAGAGATATCCTGTGCCAAGTTTGGTTGAAATCAGCTCAGTGTTCTGAAGAAAAAGTAAAAAACATTTTTAAAAAAACATAACTGACAGACGGATTGACATGCAATGATCAGAAAAGCTCTCATGAGCCTTTGGCTTAGGTGAACTAATAGGAGAGGATGATACATGTAATTCTACCATTGCTTGTAAATTTTATATTGCCTGCTCTAGCTCTAGGGCCAAGTCCTGAACATCTCGAAATGAATAAAGCAATTTCTGTTTTTATGTCAAGACCATACAAGTACTTGGGTGACATTTAAGTGTCTGAATGTTTTTTTTTTTTTTTTAAAATAAACAAGCATGTTCCATTTTGGCTGAAATACACAATTACCTGAAGTGTTAGTTATTCTATAAATGTCATTAAAGATACATATATAAAGATTTTATAATTAGCATGTATTATACAGTAAATGAATGCCAGTGCAATGATAAAAGCAACAGTTAATGTCTTATTTAGAAAATATTTAGTTTTTGTGACAATTACCTTTAGAAAGAGTTATTTTAACGTTAGTTTTTTAAGGTATGTCACTCGTGAAATTAGTTATATCAAGGATTTTTTGAGAAGTATATTTTAGATAAGTACTCATATAACATGATTCAAAATCGCAAAGAAAATGGGGGGTCAGTGTGCATCTTATTGAGCTACGGTACAATTAAGTTGACCTTTTTGCACTTAAATTATAACTCTTTGGTTAATCACTTTAATCTTTTTCATATTTTATCAAATGTAATTATGGCAATGAATATAACCTTATTTTACATAAAATAGTTTCAATAATATTTATCATTGAACAAATCAGGCAAATTAATGTGCATAAATTATTGTGTGACCTTTTTGCACTAAACAAAGTATCATATCTGGGTATGAAATATCTGAATAGGCAACAAAACATTTTCTTGTATCAAACTTTTTGTGACTTAAGTGCTGATCGGTTGAAAGTATCGTGCTGTTTAAAATAATGAATGAAAAAGTTGGGGTCAGTGATGTAAATTTTGAGATATTGGTCAAAATGTTCGATTTTCAGGCAAAAAACTGTGTAAATTTTATCTTGACTTCTTTAATATATCTTCATTTCTTGGCAAGTTCTGTTGAGTGAATGTGTAAAATTTGTTCTAAAAATATAAAGTGAGACCTATATTTAATATTCCTAGTATATCATAACGGAAAATATTCTCCGAGTAAAAATATGTGGGACTAAAGTTCCAAGACATTAAATTTAACACGTGTAGATTTGAAGAATCTTATTCTAATTATCCTTCCACCACAAGAAATAGTCCCTTATAAATCTTGCTTCTTTATGAATTTGTGAGCAGTTTTTTAATTGAATGTTGAATAATTTGGATTGTTTAATTTAAATATGTTACAAAAATTGAATTGTAATAAATAGTTTTGAAGTTAAAGGTTCTGACTGAACTTTTCTAAAAAGCTGACGAGTGACATACCTTAAAAAATATCTTAAGCTATAAAATTTTTGCTTCATCTTTTATACCACAATTACATTCCCAAAACACAGGCTTAAAAATAATTCAGTAGGGCCCTTGCTTATTGGTCAGTTTTCTACTTCAGTTAGATTTTAGAATAACTTCAACATGCATATTTCAGTCTGTATATTGTGGACTAACTGTATATATTTCTCTTTATGACAGCGGAGAGATACTGTCGATTGCTGAAAAGTGAAGGAGGCTTGGAACTGTTAGAGACTCTTGAAGCGAATCCAAGGGTATTGTTGGAAGTGCAGAAGTTAGCGAGGACTGTGATAGAACAAGTCTTGGCAGGTCTGCAGAAAAAGAATTCTCCTCAAGAACAACATCAAATAGATGAAAGTTCTGATGACTAAAAATGCATATTCTTATTTCCTTATTAAAATTTTTATTTGTTTGACTTTTAACTTTTGCATTTCTTCGAGCATGTGAAAAATGGCTTTCTTAAATGTCTTTCATGAAAATTTTGTACAATGTATTGTTTGCGTATTTATTGAAGTGTATTAAAAACTTAAAAGAAAACAGAAAAATGAAATTATTTAATGTTTCTTGAATAAGCACAACAGAGACTGTGCCAAAACCTACATGTTAATATCCTTTGTTATTTACCTATAAAATAATTATACATACAGTATAAGTAAGTAATTTTGGTCAGGTCCTTTTGTGCTTTGTTATATATAGCTATTATTTAACTTAAACAGTGTGCAAGAAATGCATATCACTTTATTAATCTTACACAACATTTGCTATTTCTATTTATAAAGTTTTAGAAATATAATTTTTGTGATTGAATTCCAAGGAGATTTACACATGTATATATGTAGATGGTTTTTTTCCCCCCTTTTTTAATGCCTACCCAAATCAGGAATGTTGGTGGTACCTGAGTGTATTATAACTATGAGAGATGGAGAATTAATATTGATAAAAATGATTGTTGTTGAAATGTCAAGAATTCTGCTTTATCAAGAAAATGTTTACATGAGATTTTTTTTGAAAGGGAGTTGGGAATTTCATCATGCCTGTATTCATATGACAATAAAATTTATTTCTTTCAAAGTTTTTTTTTAGGAATTCATGTAAAGTTCTCATATGTGTATGGGTTCAAAGAAGAAAAAAAAACTTCTTATTACATTTCGATTATTTTTTAATATGTAAAAAAAAACAACAAAAAACATACCATTTAACTCATTGAAATTCAAATGTACCATCATCCTGCTTTTTTCAAAGCTCCCCCCCCCCCAAAAAAAAAAACAACAAACAAACAAAAAACAAAAACAAAACAAAAACAAACAAATAAAACAAAAACAAAATTGCCATTTTTACCAAATATTTTGTTCTCCAAGTTAAAGCAAATGTACTATGGATACCAGACCAAATGTTTACAAGTTATGATGAGAAATACACACACATTCTTCACCCCCTCTTGGTCAGAATACGACACAAAAAATAAATCCAATTTAAACCACCAGTATGCCTAATTAAAAGGTATACATATTGTACAATTAACTGATACTCAGAAACTTGTATTTACATTTTAGGTAAGTACTTACCTTGGAGATGGTGGTGTTTAGTAGTCTTTTAGAACCAAATGAACTTTTGTGATATTTTTTTGTTTTTTGGCAATAGTATGTACTTATCGCATTGTTTTTCCTCTAAAGAACCATGCACTGAGCCCCTATAAACCAAATATCTCTAGATAAAAGATATACATTTTTTTTCTTAGTAATCATATCCATAGCCATGCCATGAATAACATTTATAAATATTACAGGTACAATTTAATACAAATGTGTAACTTTGTCCATTTATGTGGTGATCAGTTACCTGCATTAATTTCCAAAGTATTTATAACTTCCATTTAAGATTAAAATCCTCATGCTTTTATTACCTTTTCTTAATTTGTTTACTTTCTTTGCTAATTAAACAATATATAATTGATTGGATGTGAATGACTTGTGCATTTTAATTCTTGTACAAGGACCTGTAGGCATTTACTTATACATACAGTGATTTGTAAATGGTGAAATGTAATCTCTTGATTTTTAAAATATTATTGACAAGATGTCAATATACAAGTAAATGTAGTTTGAAATATGCATCTAATTTATACAATTTGATGTGTACTATGTATATCTTGTTAAACATTTACGGTAAAAATCTCAGAGACACTTTGTACATTGACAATATTTGTCTCAAGGACTGAGTGCTGATACTATAGTAACGTGTCATAATTATATGTAGTATGTTTCTTAATTGATAGTTTACTCTTTACTGTATGTATATTTTTGAGACCATTCTGTTTTTTTCTTTTTTTCTTTTTTTTTTGGCAAAATTTACCACTTTTTCTTGTATTTACATGTGTATTGTTTTCTGAAATTTCCTTCAGTATTACTGTGCATTACCATTTTCAAAGAATCTACAGAATATGTTTTTACTGTTCAGCTTTTTTGGATGGTTTTTGATTTAAAAACATGATGTTGATCGTGAGCATGTATGCAGCCTGAATGAAAATTGACACTGTTATTCTGAGATTAATACAAATAATAGTTGCATATGACATATTATTTGCATTTTGATATGCAAGGATTCACAATTGTTTAAAAATCTATTCAGTGAATTCTTTTAAAAGTAGTACACCAAAATGAAGAGCTGCAAGACAAAACTTTCTTCACTCTCTTTACATAATAAGCTTTGTCAAGCAGTTTATAGACATAAGCAAGATGTGTTTGTGAAACACAGATGCCCCCACATAGAGCTCATGGCGAAAGTTCAAGTTTTTTAAATGCAAGTCAAACTCCAAAGTCAAGAGATCAAAAATGGTTGTATCCAAAGAAAGGTCTTGTCACAAGGAATACACCTGCGAAATATGAAAGCTCTTGAAGCAACTATTCAAAAATTATAGTCAAGGTTTTTTTTTTTTTTCAAAAGTAGGAGAAATTCCAACCTCAAGGTCATGAGGTCAGAAATATTGGTACTAAAGAAAAGGTATTGTCGCAAGGAATACATCTGTGAAATGTAAAAGCCCTAGCATCAATCATTCAAAAGGTATGGCCAAGTTTAAGGTTTTTTTAAAAAGTAGGTCAACCTCCAAGGTCAAAATTGTTAGTACCTAAGGGAAGGGACCTTGTCACAAGGAATACACATTTGAAATATGAAAGCCCTGGCATCAACTGTTCAAAAGTTGTGGCTAAGAATGAAGTTTGGAAAAAATTTGCCAAGTGGGTCAAACTCCAAGGTCAAGAGGTCAAATCTGTTCACACCCAAAGAAAGGTTTTATCACAACGAATACACATGTGAAATAAGAAAGCTAGCTCCAACTGATCAAAGGTTATGGGCAAGGTTAAAGTTTTTGCTGACAGACAGAGCAAAAACTATATATCAATATGGGGGCATAAAAATATGAACATGATTTTTAGCTCTTCTGAGCCAAAGGCTCAAAGAGCTATGGCCATTTGTGCGGTGTGCGTAAACTTTTTAGAATATGGGCCATAACTTTATACTAAAACTAGGGTTGTGACGGTTAAACAAGGGGAGATAATTAGGTAAATAAAACCAAAAGTACTGGTTGCCAAAAAATCTTCTCAAGAACCACTGGGCAGATTATCACCAAACTTACACAAAAGGATGAGGATATGTTGTAGATTAAAATTTGCACGGAGAATTGCCCTGGGGCAAAGGGCTTGGTCTCAAGGTCACTTCAAAGTTGACCAAAAAGTAGATATTATTAAAATGTTGATATTTAGCTTACTGTAAGGACTAGGATCATCAAATCTTGTCAGTTGATGCATCTAAGGACCTCATATCATGTTGACTAAAAAGTAGGTCACGATGACCTACATTTTAAATTTTGAAGCCATTCTTTTTCAAAATGATTTAGAGGCATATTTTGAACAATTTAAGGCCTATGATCATTAAACTTTGTCAGTTGATGTATCTTGGGTCCTTGGAGTATGTCAACTAAAAAGTAGGTCACCTTGACCTACTTTTTGAATTTTGTGGCTAATCTTTTCCAAAACATTTTAAGATCATTAATTTGAATACTGAGAGGTTTAGAATCATTAAATCTTGTAAGATGATGCATCTTGGGGCCATAAAATTTTTTTTTATTAAAAAGTAGGTCACAGTGACCTCCTTTTTGAACTTTGCAGGCATTTGATTTCAAAGCATTTTAGAAGCATAATTTTGGACATTTTAAGGACTATGATCATAAAACTTTTTAAGTTGGTGCATCTTGGGTCCTCAAAAAATGTCAACTGAAAAGTAGGTCACCATGACCTTTTGAAATTTTATGGCTATATTTAATATTTTCGGGTGCTATTTGGCTAAGAATCATCAAAATTTGTCAGTTGATGTATCTTAGGTCCTCGGAGTAGGTAACTGAAAAGTAGGTCGCCGTGACCTACTTTTCAATTTATATGGCTATAATTAAATATTTCGGGTACTAATTGGCTTAGAATCATCAAACTTTGTCAGTTGATGCATCTTGGGTCTTCGGAGTAAGTCAACTGAAAAGTAGGTCACTGTGTCCCACTTTTGAAAATTTATGGCTTTAATTAAATATTTCAGGTACTAATCAGCTTAGAATCATCAAACTTTGTCAGTTAATGCATCTTGGATCCTCGGGAGTTATTCAACTGAAAAGGAGGTCACTGTGGCCTATTTTTGAAATTTTATGGCTATATTTAAATATATCAGGTACTAATTGGCTTAGAATCATCAAACTTTGTCGGTTGCATGATGCATCTTGGGTCCTCAAAGTATGTCATCTGAAAAGTAGGTCACCATGACCTACTTTTGAAATTTTATGGTAATGATTAAATATTTTAGGTATTAATTGGCTTAGAATCATCAAACTTAGTTAGTTGAAGCATCTTGGGTCCTCAGAGAATGACAAGTGATAAGTAGGTCACCATGACCTACTCTCAGGTACTAATTGGCTTAGAATCATCTTGGGTTTTCAGAGTGTTTCATCTAAAATGTAGGTCATGATGACCATTTGGAATTTCAAGGCTTTATCTAAATATACAGGATACTTAGAGGCTTCAAATAGAAGTGATAGGTTGCACAGTTTATCAGAAGAGCGATTCAAGGCCCTTGGGCCTCTTGTTTCCAAACTTGTAGCTTCACAGTATATCCTCTATAACATCATCAATGGTTCAACGAAATTGACTATAGACAAAATGTGTGCCTTGGGGCAAGGAAGAATGGGTTATACACATACAGTCAAACCTTGTTAAACTCAATGGAACAAAGAAAAAACTTTAAGATATGGAGATTGAAATAGATAAAGAAAAGGTGGTTGAGACTTTCACCTTACTTCAACATATCCATAGTATTCAAGATAATGACGTTTGGTATTAGTTCTGAACTGTACTTTATATTGAAGTGCTTTGGAAAGCATTGGTCTCTCTGTACATGTATATACTTGGATGCATGTACATGTACTTTAGTTTTGTTAAACAAATTACTTAACTTTTCAAAAATAAAAAGAAAAGAAAAGATGCATGTATTTCTATAATGAAATATAAAGTTAATTATATTTCATCTTGGCAATGTATAAGGATTTTAAAATCAGTGTGATGAAGTAATTAATGTTCAAATACATGAGTACACGGATTTGTTCAGTCTCAATATTGAGTAACATCTTTACTTGGGAATGGACCTATTCTAAAACTTTTAATATGTTCAATCACCCAGAACATGTTGGTCAAACCCATCAAGCAAGTCTGGTTGTGTGCATCCTAGATACATGCAAGTTAAGTCACTTTTACTTGGGAATAAGAAATGCTTTTAAAACCGTAACCTGCTCTAAAAACATTATACTGGTCATTCACTCATTCTTCTGGAACATATTGGCTGAGAAACATCATCTGAAACCTGTCTTGTACACTGAAACATACTACTAGATGCAACACTGATCAATATAGGGCATATAGTTATTACCTGTATGAAATGTTCCACCTGGAAAACAGGCGAAATCAAGACTGGAATTCTCAGTCAAATTCCAGGCATAAAACCTACTATAACTATTCAGGCAATATAAGCAAAAACCAGAGGTTGGCTGGAATTTTTCGGCAAAAAATGAAAATTAGTTTTGCCTGGAAATTGAAATTCCACCTGGAAACAGGATTCCGCCTGAATATAGATTCCATCTCAACTGTCCAAAGTATTGCACAATTTCTCCTTGACCCACAAACCCATTTCAACCAAAATGATGTTTCCCTCTGTTTATAATTAAAATAATCCTCTCAGATTAGTTGCTTGGACATGTAGAATGCTTAAAAATATATTGTCACCAAAAAAAATTTGCTTTCATGCACTCAAAAACTAGATGCACAACTAACTTTAGTACAATAACTGTATAATAAACGTTATATTTTCTGAATAATGAATATTTTTATTTTTATTTAATAAGGATATGTTCTAAGTTAAGCTTTTCAGATTATAATCAGATATGTACATTTATTAACTTATTCATGATTACAATGAAGTCAAAGTTATTAGTACATGTACTGCATGACCTAAAGGTTACATCAGAATTTAGGTGTCCTTATTATTTTCATTTACATCACAGTAAGCGTCAAGAAAACAAAATTTTCAAACTATTATGCTGTCCAAATGTAGAACTTCATCATTACTTTATGCCGTTTCCTCCAATAACTAACCAATTTCAAACTGATAACCTCTACACAGAAAGTCCGACCAGCACCTATTTACTTTAAATTTGTATTAAACCAATCAAAAGCTTTTACTGCTGTTCCTTGAAGAAAAGTAATTCCAAGCAGAATTTCTACTTATAATTTCCAGCTATTTTTTCCCTAAAATTAATTCAGCTTAGAATTTGAGGACTGGAATCTGTTAAATTCAGGAGGAATCTCGAAGACGGAATTTCAAAAGTTCCATCTCCTCCTGTATTATACCTGGAATTCATGGATTCCAAGCAGAATACGGTTGGTGTCCAGCCAAATTTTGGGCAGAATCAGCCTCAATTGTTTGCACAGGTAGGAAATAAATCTGCTCTGAAAACTTTGACATGGGACACTGACACTGAGAGTAGTACACCATATAAGCTCCCCCCGACTTTGTTGTGATCAAGCCAAAGACATGTTTGAGAAACGCTATAATTATACCTGTAGTCATATGAAAGGAAATCTTACCTCTGATGTGCTGAAAACATACTTATATATTTTAGCAGTGATCATATTTAAGCACACATTTCCTGCTGCTTCATGTTTGCTAATTTATGAGATGCTAATAGATGATTTTAAAGAATACTTTTCTTTTTCAAGATGCAACTGACAAGTGCATTAATTTAAGATTGTGCTAATCAGCTGAAGATGAAGATTGCATTGTATTACACACTAATTTACGTACATTAACAGTATACTGTGACCTGACTCTTTACTAACAATGATTCGTTTCCTTGACTGTTCACTAGACAAAATAAAGGTGATCAAAGATTACATAGCTCGACAAACATTATCATCCATAAGGCAAAATCTCATTCCAAACAAATGTTCTGGTAGTGTGCATCCCTATAGATGCAACATCAGGCCTGCTTACATAAAATGGATCAGATGTTTTCCATAGTTTTCTGTCAATTTGTCCATTTTAATTATTGGAGTTTTTTTGCAGAAGATTTTGTAAATTCAAATTTAATCAAATTCACATAAAACAATTTTTTTCATTGTTGTATTGACAGAAAATAAGTCTTAATATCAACTTTGACTAAAATATTTTCAAAACTACTACATATAATTATATATATATATTAAACAAACTAACTACTTTTTGAACATGATTGTGGTTCCTTTCTTTCCAAGGGGCAATGGTTTGAACAAACATGAATCTGCAATATCTGAGAATGCTTGCAGCATAATTAATACTGCATCACATGGCCGTGCTGTTTTGGGGAAGATTTTGGGGGGTATATAATCCAATGTAAAATGTGTATCCTATATTGTGGCGGGCCCTGTCTACCCCTGGGGGCAATGATTAAATGTACTCGATTCAGCATTACCCGAGAATGCTTGAATAATAACATTACTAATCATGATTCAGCAGATTTTTCTGATATTTATCAATATTCAAAAGTATAATTTGATCTACTATTGTGGCCCTAACCCCCGGGCCCATAATTTGAATCTGCACTACCTGAGGATGCTTGCTTTTAAAGATTTTTCCCTTTATATTATCATGAAAGAATTTGATCCAATATTGTTGCCCCGCCCTACCCCTGGGGCCACAATTGGAACAAACATAAATATATACTTTCTAAACATTCATATATGATTAATCTTTTCTGGCCTAGTGGTTCTTGAGAAGAATTTTTGAAAGATGCCACCAACTTTTCACAAATTCTTCATTATCTTAATAATATATATGAATTTATAATTTTGAAAGAGGAACCCTTGCTCATCATAACTATGCATTTAGCTTGATTGCTTTATACCCAAGAGCAGAAGAGTATATTAAAAGAAATAATCATTTTCAGCATATATTAGATATTGCCCAACCATCAGAACCCCTGAACCCAGGGTCCATTAAATTTTGGAAGAGGCACCCCTGCTCATGATAACCATGCACTTAGTTTGTACTCTAAATACACAGGAGCAAAAAGGATTTTCAAAAAAAAAATGCAATTTTGTTAATCAATAGAGCCCCACCCAACACATGAACCTCTGAACCAGGGGCCATGATTTTCACAATTTTGGAAAAAGCAGCCTTGTTCATCATAACCATGCATGTAGTATATCTACCAAATACCAGGAGCAAAGAATAAACAAATGCATTTAAAGAAATTTATGCATTTAAAGAAATAATGCATTATCACTATATAATCAGTAGAGCTACCCTCCTATTACATCAGAACCCTGACCCAGGAGCCATGATTTTAGAAGAGGCACCACTGCTCATAACCATGCACTTAGTTTCTTTGTTAAATATATAGGGGGAGGAAAGATTCCAACACTTTTTAAAGAATTTGTGCAATTTCACTATGTGATCAACAGAGCCCCACCCTAATGCCGGAATCTCAGGCCTTGGGGCTTTGAATTTCACAATTTTGATGAAGGACTCATTGTTTTTTATACAATGTAATCATGACAACAGATTGACTGCTTGACGTCCAGGTGTGTAGATTTTTTCTTGAAAATTGCATTATTTTGATGGTTTTGGCCCCACCACCTTGGTGGGGGCAGGGACCATGAAATTCATAATTTCCCACCCCTCCACACACAGATGAAAACAGATCACAATAGGTCACCTGAATGACTCAGGTGACCTAAAAAGCTCACAAACTTTTGGCTCATGTGAGCTAATTATAAAAAGCTAATTTAATATATGGTATGTGTTGACTTCCTTTCACTTCCTTCAGCGAGTAAAATCCAAAATCATAAAAGAATGGAACCATCCTGTAAAATACTTTATTTTACACATCAACATAGTGCTCATACAAAAAAGTATGATTCACATTAAATAAACAAAATAATGTTTATAAAATATAATAAATTATCACCATAAGCTTGATTAATAAACACCTACAATGCATTTCAAAGGGGATTTTGAAATGCAGAATTAATTTCTTTAGGTAGTAACATAGCTTTTTCAAATATCACTGTCATACAAATACAATGACATGAAACAGGACATTAAATCACAATCACATATTTCAGATTTTGCACGAAACATTTTGTAACAAATTAGTGGCCATAGCTATAGTGCACAAAGGAAACAATACCTGATTAATGTACAAATTTTACTGTAAACCAACTTTTATTTGCATGTAAGTGAATTATCCACGAGTTTCATGACCTCTTTTATTTGCAAATATTTCTGCCTGCCAATCACCAATTTAATTGTGTTTTTAAGTTGAATATTTCCTCATGCAGTCTCTAACATTAATCCTTGCAAATGGATTTTAAATTGATGAATCACGAATAAAAGTTATTGCGAATATAAGTTGGTACAGTATCATGTTGTAAATAATGTCAGTTATTCTAACTAGACCTAAGTCTAAGATGATCAAGCTTTTTTGCTAAATTCACACTGCCCACTTTGTCTCCAATAATAAAAGGTAAAGTGTGTATTTTATTTACATTAATCTGATATGTAGTGATTGTATACATTTTTTATGAATATCAACAAAAGTATAATCCATTAATTCTTATGCACATTTTACAACCAAGAAATCCAACAATCATGTATATATAATATAAACAATAGCAACATAATCAATACTAATATCCTTTGCATCTTCTATCATAACAAAGATTATCTATGCACAAAGGTTTATGAACATGCAAAGCTAACTTGGAAGACTGAAGCACTATTTGACAAATCATACGTTAAAAATCCAATCACTGGATAGCTATATCCCAATCACTGGAGAACTAGATCCAATCACTCGATAGCTAGATCATAATCACTGGACAGCTAAATCTCAATCACTGGATAGCTAGATCCCAATCACTGGATAGCTAAATCTCAATCACTGGATAATTAGATCCCCATCACTGGATAGCTATATCATAATCACCGGATAATGGATAACTAGACCCCATCATTGAATAGCTAGATCCCCATCACTGGATAGCAAGATCCCCATCACTGGATAGCTTGATCATATGATCCGACATCAGAAACAAATAAAACATCAAAATTTGGTCACCTCAACTTGCAGAACTGCTGGGCTATTGCTGGATACACTACTATTGTCACTGCAAGGAGCCAAAACTTTCTGGTCCATGGAACAAATTGGGATTGCTTGAACAGTGGACCATGCCGAATCAGAAGGGTCAATGTATGGACATGAGATTGCTGATTCAATGGAGTGATTCAAATCCATTTGGAAATTGGAACCATTCGAGACCAATGAATTGTTTGAGATGGTTTGATCTGAGGAACAACTCAAGTCAATCTGTTCAGTGGAACAATGCATATTTGTTTGATCTGTGGAACAGCTCAAGTCTGAAGGGTCTGTTGAACAACTTGGAATTTGTGGACTTGTGGAACAACTTGGAACTGTTGGATCAGTGGAATTAGCAACATTAGAAACAGTTGAACAAGATGGAGGTGTTTTATTAATGGATTCTGGCTTGTTTTGGATAACACTCTAAAAAGATGAAAAAAAAGAAAAATGGGCTAATACAATTTAAGTGTAGCAGTATGACTATGGGAAAATTTAACATACGACAAAAATTTCTCAGCAATATAGTGAACAGAAGTAAACATTTTTTTTTATAAAGATGCACATGCAGATATTAAATTATTACTGTACAGTAACTGTTACTTGATTTTGAAAAGCTAGATCATCAGAGAACCTTTTCTGCCTATTGAGAACAATACAGAAAAGATGACTTACAGAGGAAATGGAGGTAGATGGAGGCTTCTTGATGATGGGTTCTGTTTGAGTTGCTACATCCTTCATCTCAATGAACCTCTTAGAACACTTCTGTACAATCAACACATCTGTGTCTTCATACAGTGGCTCATTGGGACCACAGGCTACTGCCTTTTCTATTGATACTGGACATGTAAAATAAAACCCTGATAAATCTGTTTACCTTATAGGATCAATAACCAGACAAAAATCTATCTAAATGATGTAAGCAGCTTCATAATGTTCAGGTTAATTGTTATTAAAAGTCAACTTGATATATTTTTAAAATTAACAGAGAAAAATTAAGTGTCAACAGTATAAATTGTCACAGAAATCCCAAAGAACCAAAAGAATTTGTATGCCTTTCTTAAGAGATACACTATAGCTGTTGAAAATTTTTTCTTTTTATGATAACTATGTACAGTTGAACCTACTGAAAAAAAAAATTGTGATAACTATGTACAGTTGAACTTTTGTATCTCGAACATTGTTATCTCAATTGAATACCATGGACATGTCAAAAGGAGTTAGAATTTTCTTTATGTATTTTAAGCTCACAATCTCGAACTCTCAGATATATTGAAGTTTTTACAAACAATGTTTGACTGTATTTATCCTATGCTGTAAAGTATTCAGCAGCACATGTTATTTATTATCTAGTACATGCTTACCAATAGATTGATGACACTGAGGATTGCTGTAAGCGTGATTTAGTATGGCCCTTTCTCTCATGTCTCTGGGTTTCTTGGGGGAGAGGGACTTGGGCAGCAAACTAGCTTGGGAGGAAAGACTTGGAACTTTCACACCAACTGTGGTAAAATCTACATGGTCTGAAAAAGCAGGATTTCATACAGTTCAAAGGCACATAACAATGTATTAAACTGCAGTTAGAACTGGTAATGATTAATTTGTTATGGCAACTATTACTAGTCTCTTCCTTTTCTCTTGCACAACAAATGTTGTAATAATAAACTATAAGGCTCCCATTTCAAATGAACAGCATACTGTAAATGTCAGAATTTATACACAAGAATAATTTACACTGAGCCCCTCTAAAAGCCAATGTCTTTTAAATTTCTTTTAGCAGCACTAGTTAAACATGAAGCCAGTGCTGTTGAATTATAAAGTTCCATACAATTTTTGCAACTGATTTTGCAAATAAAAATACAAGTCATGTAAATATCCAAGCTTACAGTACACATTTTTAGAAGCATTTATTCATGATAAAAGTTGTAATTCTACTACTGTAAACATACTTTTTTCCATGGGAGTCATAATTCTGTGGATTTACAATTTCTATTTAATCCACAGGTAGAAAATTACACGGATTTCTTAGATTGCCACTTTATGCCTTAAATATACTTAAGATGCCCTGCGGCAAATTTCCTTGGAAAATTTGTGACCGTGTAAATAGCGTTAAAACCATGCAGAAACAAGAGGCCCATGGGCCACATCGCTCACCTGAGTAACTTTGGCCATGCTGTTCTTTACCAGATTTCCCCCTTTTAATATACCTATTGTGGCCCCGCCCTACCCCCGGGGGTCATGATTTTAAAAATTTATAATCTACACTACCAGGATGCTTCCATATAAGTTTCAGCTTTTCTGGCCCAGTGGTTCTTGAGAAGATTTGAAAAAAATTTTCTTATATATTTCAATGTAAAACTTGGATTCCCTATTGTGGCCCCGCCCTACCCCCGGGGATCATGATTTGAACAATTTATAATCTACACTACCCCAGGATGCTTCCATATAAAATTCAGCTTTTCTGGCTCAGTGGTTCTTGAGAAGAAGATTTTTAAAGATTTTTCCTATATATTTCAATGTAAAACTTGGATTCCCTATTGTGGCCCCACCCTACCCCCGGGGGTCATGATTTGAACAATTTAGATTCTACACTACCCCCGGATTCTTCCACATAAGATTCAGCTTTTCTGGCCCAGTGGTTCTTGAGAAGAAGATTTTTCTTATATATTTCAATGTAAAACTTGGATTCCCTATTGTGGCCCTGCCCTACCCCCCGGGGTCATGATTTTAAAAATTTATAATCTACACTACCCCAGGATGCTTCCATATAAGTTTCAGCTTTTCTGGCCCAGTGGTTCTTGAGAAGAAGATTTTTTAATGACCCCACCCTATTTTTCTCTTTTCTTGATTATCCAGGGATCGACGTTGTCCGATTGCCCGGGACAAGTAAATTCTCAGTTCCGGCAAGTACTTGTCCGATCGGGCAAGTGATTTTTTTTTTTCATACAAATGTTTATATCATTTAGTTTTCATTAATTTGTAAATAGACAATAAATTGAACATTTGATTTCCGCCAGGTACCTGACTGACATCATTTGGAATTCCTTAATAGCGTTTCTAGATTATACCATTCATTTAAAAATCGGGTTCAGTTTTCTGTTTTCTTTCCTGGTAAAATACGCTAGAACCTCCAACAACTTTGTTACCTACTTCGTACTTATTTAGATTATTTATTCACTTACAAATAAGTAACATATGATATATCCTGATCAAATATACATTTCGTAGCAACTATCTTCTTTTAGCGTTGCTTCACAGATATCTCTGAAAATTACAATTCACAAAAAGATCCTACCGAAAATAATTTTTAAAAATGTGATTTTTATTAAAAGGAAACGGAGGATTATTGCTGCATGGCAGTGTGTGTTAAGAGGTTAAATTGACAAGGACAGTGGTATACATTTAATTACAAACGCATATTATTAGTGTTTTTTGATCACATTTTTTTCTTAGCATAATTTTCTTCTTTCCTAATTTTGGGCAACCAAGTTTTGCATTCGGACAAGTCAAAGTTTGAGATCACTTGCCCGAAAGGCAAGTGAATATGAAAGTTAATGTCTATCCCTGTTATCTCCCCTTATATGGGGACCTGGCCCTTTATTTTAACAATTTACACTCCCCTTCACTCAAGGATACTTTGTACCAAGTTTGGTTAAAATTGGCTTAGTGGTTCTTGAGAAGAAGTTGAAAATGTGAAAAGTTTACAGACGAACAGACATACGGACGGACGACAGACAACGGGTGATCAGAAAAGCTCACTTGAGCTTTCAGCTCAGGTGAGCTAAAAATACTTCTACCAGTATATGTATAGTCTTTCAATGTTTTAAAATATGCACTCATTCTTTTACCTGTGACTGTATGGAGAGGGTTTTTTTCTATATCCACTGCCAGGATATTGGTGTTTACAGCCAGATAAAACTCCACATTCTTACCTGTGACTGTGTAGAGAAGGGAGTTTCCCATATCCACTGCCAGGGTATTAGTGTTTACAGCCAGATAATACTCCACATTCTTAACTGTGACTGTGTAGAGAGGGGGGTTTTCCACATCCACTGCCAGGGTATTGATGTTTACAGCCAGATACAAGAGGCCCAAGGGCCTTAACGGTCACCTGAGTATAATACAACAATTTAGAGGATCCATAGAGTATAAAATGAACTGAAAGGTGAAGCTTTGTTGCCCAAAAGCAAGAAAAATAGGGTGATCAGGATCAACAAAATAATTAGTCTAGTATTCATTAACAGTTCATAAATTAGATTCTAATCTGTTCCCCATTTATCACTATCACCATACAGTATATTAAATAGTAAACTGTCAGTGCTTCTGTACTATTTTAATTCCTTGTTAAAATCTCTTACATTGGCTTCTCTTGGTCTTTGATTAACATTTAAAAAGACAAGTTATTTTTGTCTCATTTTATTTATCTATTACTTACAAGTATATCTGATCATTAAAACTATGAAAGTCCTTATGTATTATACAATAAACATTCTTGCATAATTCTCTTATTCCATTAACCTTTCAAGTACATTACTTACAGTGATTAATTATCAAATTAAAGTAAATGGCAAAGGGGAATAACTCCTCTCAGTAGAATACAAATTAATAGAGCCCTGGCCAGGACCAGAGCACTTGACCATATGGTCCAGGTGTTCAAAAATCTGGTAAAAATACTCTTCCTTATTAAAACTTTTACTCTTTTTGCCTCTGATATGCCCAGGTGCAGAGAAGATTTTAAAACAAATAATGCATTTTTATTACAGATTCACTATATTATCAATAGAGCACCCCCCCCCCCCCCCCCAAGCAAGAAACACCAGATCCTCTCACCCTGGGACCAGAAGTTTGCTCATCATAAGTAATCACTTTGTTTATCTGCTTAACACTAAGAGTAGACAGGACTATTTAATAGAATTAATGCATTTTCACTATATTATCAAGAGCCCCACCCTTACACCAGCACATCTGACCCAGGGGTCATGCAATTCACTACTCTGGAAGAAGCACTCTTGCTCAGCATAACTATACACTTAGCTTCTTTGCTTTTTAACCAGGAACAGAAAAGAATATTTTCAAAGAAATTTTGCTTTTTCACTATATAATCAACAGTGCCCCCCCCCCTTTTTTTTTCACCAAAACCCTTGAGCCTGGGGCTATGAATTTCACAATTTTGGTAGAGTCACTCTTGCTTATCATAACTATGTATTTAATTTGTTTAAATAATACCCAGGGGCAGAGAAGAAGATTTTCAAAGAAATAATTCACCTTCACTATAGGATCTATATAGCCCCATCTTAACACCAGAACCTCTGATTACTGGGCCATGAATTTCACAATTTTGGAAGAGGCATCCTTGCTTATCATAACTATGTATTTAATTTGTTTAAATAATACCCAGGAGTAGAGAAGAAGATTTTCAAAGAAATAATGCACTTTCACTATATGATCTATATAGCTCCACCCTAGCACCAGAACCCCTGACCCTGGGGCAAGAATTTCACAATTCTGGAAGAGTCACTCTTGCTTATCATAACTATGTATTTAATTTGTTTAAATAATACCCAGAAGCAGAAAAGAATATTTCCAAAGAAATAATGCACTTTCATATATGATCTATATAGCCCCACTCTAGCACCAGAACCCCTGACCCTGGGGCTATGAATTTCACAATTTTGGTAGAGTCACTCTTGCTTATCATAACTATGTATTTAATTTGTTTAAATAATACCCAGGGGCAGAGAAGAAGATTTTCAAAGAAATAATTCACCTTCACTATAGGATCTATATAGCCCCGCCCTAGCCCAGAACCCCTGACCCTGGGGCTATGAATTTCACAATTTTGGTAGAGTCACCCTTGCTTATCATAACTATGTATTTATTTTGTTTCAATAATACCCAGGAGTAGAGAAGAAGATTTTCAAAGAAATAATGCACTTTCACTATATGATCTATCTAGCCCCGCTCTAGCACCAGAACCCCTGACCCTGGGGCCATGAATTTCACAATTTTGGTAGAGGGCTCAATGCTTATTACAATCATGCCAACAGTTTGACTGCTTGATGTCCAGGAGTAAAGAAGAAGATTTTTAAAGATAGCACTTATTTTGATGGTTTTAGCCCCACCCCTCAGGCCCCAGGGGGGCAGGGACCATGAAATTCACAATTTTTGTACTCTTTCACCCATTGATGCTATATGCCAAAATTGGTTGAAATTGGTTCAGTGGTTCAAGAGAAGAAGCTGAAAATGTTCAAAAGTTTACGACCGACGGACGACGACGGACAAAAACAGATAGCAATAGGTCACCTGAGTGACTCAGGTGACCTAAAAACTCCAAATTCTTACCTGTGACTGTGTGGAGAGGGGGGTTTTCAACATCCACTCCCAGGGTATTGGTGTTTACAGCCAGATAATACTCCACATTCTTACCTGTGACTTGTGGAGAGGAGAGTTTTCTACATCCACTGCCAGAGTATTGGTGTTTACAGCCAGATAAAACATCACATTCTTACCTGTGACTGTGTAGAGAGGGGGTTTTCCACATCCACTGCCAGAGTATTGGTGTTTACAGCCAGATAAAACTCCACATTCTTACCTGTGACTGTGTGGAGAGGGGAGTGTTCCACATCCACTGCCAGGGTATTGGTGTTTACAGCTGGATAATACTCCACATTCTTCCAATTCCTCTCCAGAGCTGGACCCCAGCTGGACTCTGCCTGGCACAGTTTCTTTAGTCTCTGCAAGACATAACAAAATGTGGAGAATCTCACATCCTTTAAAATTCTATTTTTTCCTTATGATAATATTTGTCTTGAAAGAGAGCATTCTCCTAGATAAAAGAAATACTTTACAACATATATGTAGAACTGAATGTTGGCTAGGGCTGTATCAATATATCGATACGCATCGATATTTAAGAATGAATTGTATTGAACAAATAACTTCCAATATGTATCGGACAGGAAGATTTTCTTATAGCTTTGTGAAAAAGTTAGGAATTTCAATCACCAAAGGTTATATTTTCACTGTTATGAATCAAAATTGATCAATAATGATATAATCATTAAAGAGATAGCACATGTAAGATAAATATTACAAAATACATAGGCAACTTTCTTTTAACATATTGATTTCACAGTCGTTAAAAGTTTGAATTTCAAGTGTAATTTGTAAAATATTGTATCGTATCGAATTTTTTTGCTCAATATACAGCCCTATAATGTTGGCATGGAAATATCAATGCTTTAGAATGTATAGTTCTAAAACCTTTTAAAATTGCTCTTCAAGAATAGTCAGCTTAGACTATGGGCCACTTCCAATAAAAATAATTTTTTACCTTGACTAGTCCCCCTTCACTGAGTGCCAGTTTACAGATGATCCACAGAGGAATGGCTAACACAGGAATGCTTGTAATGAAGAACCCCAGAACCTCAGACCAAGGGGGATAACTGTCTGAATTGTACTTCTCTGACAGAGACTTGTATCCAATGCAAGAGAAAATGATGATGAACTGAAATGTATAAATTCACAATGATTATAAGCCTATTTCTCTATCACTTAAAATTTGATAGTTTTATCCAAGAGATCATTCAATTGATTCTATTTCAAATGGACACACTCCAACATATATACACTTACTGTGATAATGATAGGAGAGATGACGCACCAGAGAGCCTTCCACCAGTATCCTACAGACTGACCAATCATACGCTTTATGTCTGTACAGAACTGTCGCACTCCATAAATCCAGCCAATGGCAATACACATAAACACACCATTCACCATGGTGGCAAAGCCTGCTGCATACTCATCAATCAAAGTCAATACATAGATTCCACCCTAAAACATAACCACTGGAGTCAGTCAATTTTTACAGAATAAACAACACTTTGTTATTAAAACTGTTCATTTTCTAGTAAATAAATCACTAATATGTAAAATCTCTTTCTATTTATTTTGGCATACCATCTTCGATATTTTTCCCAACTCTGTAATCTGAACAAATACATCATTCTCTTCTTCTAGACAGTAAATTTAATTTCAAATTTTGGTTCAAAATGACTCCTCAACAATATTAAAATCACCATTTCAAAGAATTTCAACCACTCACCTGTGTGGAAAGAGGTAATCCAAGAAGGAAAAGAACAGAACACACTAAAAACAAAACAACGATTCTCTTTCCACGGAAGACAGATAAGTTTTCGTCCATTATGGCGGTGATTATGGTCTCAATCTGAACAAACTGGGTACTTAGACCAAGCATAATGATCATTAGGAAGAATAAGACGGACCACAGAGGAGCTATAGGAAAGTAGGACATGGCAGCAGGATTGACTATAAAGGTTAGCCCTATTCCTGAAAGAGAAAGAATTACACATTACTACAAGTACATTCCTTGGATTGTATTTTTTTTTTTGGCCAGAAAACAAAGACATTTTTTTTTCAATTCTTTTTCTGTATACAAGTTAATTATTTAAATATTTATAATTATAATTAGGGAAGAAAAGCTTGGTTATACCTGAAGTAATGACCTTTTCTATATCCGTGTCTAATTCGTTGCTAAGGACACCCATCATGGCGAACACAGAAAAACCTGCTAACATACTCATAAGTGTATCACCCAAACACACCAATATTGCATCACTGTAAAATAAAAGAAAAAAAAACCATTTTAACAAAAATTCATTCAAATAACTGTGAGCTAAATGAAAACCATTTTAATTAACTTAATCCAAATGACAGCCTATACAAATAGCCTTTACTTGTATCTTGATTTCAATTTAACTTGAATTCTGTTTTGCTGCTTTATTACTTATGTAAAATAAACATAAATCTTATGCAAATTTTGTGTAATTATAACTGACCTGTAAATATTATTATGGAATTTATTGTAACTAGAGAGAGTAGTAAGTCCTCCCATGCAGACAGACAGACTGAAGAAGACCTGCACTGCTGCATCGCCCCAAACACTGGGTTCCTGAAGCTTCTCCCACTTGGGGGCAACATAAAATTTAATACCCGTCATGTTCCCCTCCATGGTCAAGGCTCGTACAAGTAATGTCAGCATGATCAGGAATGGAAAAATCACAACCAGGTAAGCTACCTACCATGGAAAAATGGCATCATTAAGTATCTGATGGGAAAATAGCAATTCTAATCAATATGTTAAGTGGAAAGGAATAAGATGCATCAAATAGTAAATTGTACAAGGGGGTGTACTACTGGATATGGTTTTGATGAAAATCTTTACAAACTGTCATGAACCCCAGGACCAGAGAACATTATTAAAGAATTAATGCATTTTCAATATATGATCTATAGAGCCCCGCCCTAACACCAAAACCCCGACCCATGGCCATGAATTTCACAATTTTTGGAAGAGGCACTATTGCTCATCATAAACATCCACTTAATATTTACTCTAAATAACAAGGAGCAGAGAATTACAAAATCTACAATATTACCTTAATTAATTAAAAAAATTCCATAGATTTCAATCATAATATTTCATATGTATAAGTCTTGCAAAATTTAGGCAAAAAGGAAACTCATGCCATTGGGTTAGTCCATATATTCTTAAACTCAATTGCAATGCAATATAAACATTTACCCCATTATCCATTTAAAAAACATGGAATAAAATATTAGATTAAAAAAATTCAACAAGGAAAATATCATTAGTAACATGTAACACATGCATGAAAGTGGGAGAAAAAAAAAAGAATATATGTATACCTTTGACACTATTTTCTACAAGGAAATATAAAGTGTTTCCTATCAAATTGCTATCCCCGCATTACAAGTTTAGTGTCACAAACAAGAAACTCAATGTACAATACATTAGTGCCCTTCAACTGGATCTTATCCAGCTGAACTTGGATCAAACAATAGCATCAACATATATAAGGGAGAAAGTTGGGGGTGGGTGGAGGGATTTCAAATCAGAGGGAGGATTAAATAGTTTTGAGGATACTCTCTATACAAAAGGAAAGTTTACAGACAGCTACAGGTATACCAGAGGTGTTTACCTCTTTCTGTAGTTGTCAGTAATGTAAATGGTTTTTCTCCGTGATTTGTACTTTTTGTCCATAATCTTGTATGTTTGCAAATACCCTGGCTAAATTTTGCTATTTAAATGTGATATTTCTATAGACATTATAATTTACAATGATGTTCTCTTCTGCTTCCTCAATGTGAAACATACATTGATGACAACATGGTATATAAAAGAAATATCTTTGAGGCATTTGTGTGAATTCTTCTTATTGCTAAAGCATTTATACAACATGGAAATAATAAAATTTGTAGCATTTCTGGGGGAAAATCTGTAAATCCAAGACAAATACAGAATTTCCATAATAGTTAACTGTGAATTCTGCTATACATTTAGGTTTGGTGCTTTCAGTATACTAAAATATATCATTTGATTAATTAACCAATATGTCTCTAAGAACTCTGACACTTTTGAACCAATCACAACTGACCTTCCCTGAAGTACGGACTCCCTTGATGAGGCAGATGAACACAATGACCCAGCATAGCAGCAGACAAAGAGCCAGCTCATACTGCACGCTGCCAAGCTCGTTCATGCTCCCAGATCGCTTCAAAACCTTATTGCTGGAAATGTCAAGAAGCAACAATGGAGTCTCTTAGACAATACATGTACTAATTTTTATAAGAATTAGATGTGTTTTTGACAATGCCAATAACCAAAATCTTATTATACTTTCAGTCCAAAATATAATATTGCAAAATTGAATATATATGGAATTATGGTACTTGAGGCCTTTACATCATTATCTTGACGAAAATCAAAGCCAGTCTATTTCACATGACTCAATAGTTATAACCAGCTTGACACCTGTGACACCCAGACAAGCAGACAAAAAATATTATTTGACCTTCATCATTCGGTGCAATCATTTATTTGTTCAAAAGAAGAAAACTTTCTGCAAGAGCAAGGACTCATCATGGAATATCCCTCTGATAAAGGATATAACGCACAATAATTTTTCACGATTTTTAGCCGATTTCCATCTTTTTTGGGGGGGGGGGGGTGTTAAAACATTTTTCTTTGTAAAAAATAATGGAAATCTTCAATGAACAAAAGTAGAACTTTTCTAATAGAACTAATACCCTAGTGGGACAACAAAAGAAGGGGCTTACTTTAAATACATAAAAAAAGAACTCTGTCATCTTGCTAAAAAATTGAATTACAAATTCCTTATAATGACATGATCAAATAAAATTAACAAATGAAATCAACCCTTAAAATTTTCCTAATTTTATTTTCCCTCTCAAAATTAAGGTATTTTTACAATTTTGCTGATGACCCACCTAGAATTGGGTCAAGAAAAGGAGTCAAAGAGTGAAAGTACTATCATAAAGTTTAAATTCAGACAGACAATTCATAATAAACCCTGGACAAAGACCCTTGAGGACTGAAATAATTCTTGAAGTGCCCCCCAATCCCTCCTTGACTTCAGATATTTGACTTTTGACCGCTCCATTTATGTAATTTCTAGTATTATAATGACCTTGGGTTATTGCTGATTAAGGGAGTTTCCAAAACCCCTCCCTGTTACATGGGAAAACTAGTACTTCCTTTCGGCATTAAGTGTTAAACATTTCTCTTTCATATAATATGTCAGTCTTCAAACTGCTCTCGACTTCACATTGGCTGATCAATATATTAAAAAATTTTATACTGCAAATCTTCCTTAGGAACTTTACTTTGAATGAGTTAGCCTCTAAAGTTTAAAATTTTCTTACTGTGATCAAATTTTCAAATTTTGTGCACTTGGTGCAAATCAGTTTTTATACAAGGACTTCATATGAATGTATCTGAACAAATTTTTTCCAGGATATTTCTAACAATGCATACACAATTGGCAATATTGCCACTGAATGTCAAAACCATGCACAGAAGAAAAACAAATACCATTTTGAATCACTTTCATCTATGAAAATCATAGCTTTTTATAATAGCATGATGTTTTAATCAAAATACACCTTTGTTTGGGCATGTAGATAGAATTAAGACCAATAAAAACAAGATTTAATTTCTTCAGTTGAAGCTGTGATCTTTTTTCATTAGTCTGTTTCATAAAATGAAATACTAGTAACCAAGACCAAAGTATCAAAATGCATAACCCTGTTTTTTCCTTCAGTGCCATGGAAAAAAGCTCTTAAACAAAGAATAAATAAGGGACAACACACAACTACTTAATATTATTTAAAATGTGAATATTCCAGTATTACAAAAGAGTTGAGAAAAAGAGGAAAATAGTGACTTACTAGAAATATTCCTCACTGGGGCTGGTCAGTTTACGAGAGTTGATCCAGGAGGAATTGAGGAAGATCTCGTCTCCGACTTTGTCCCTCAGTTCACCGATACAGGAGACGACAGGATCAGAGATCCTGGTGGACAGATTTGTATCTGAACAGTTCAGTAATGTCTCTACACAAGAGATGTTCCTCACGACAGGTTCATAGAGATAGGATATGTTCAACAAGGAGCAATTTGTGATTTCATACTTGTTCAAACTGCATGCTGTAAGAAAAAAAATATAACTATTTATCTTGACAACAGAATAATTCACACTAATTAATAAATTTATGAAGAAAAACTGTCTCATTTGTAGAGAACCTCCTCAAACATTTCATACAAAAACACCAGATGGTCCTGGATTTAATTAACCTACAGTTGAACTTCAGTATCTCGAACACCACTGAGTTAAAGAACATGGCTATGTTAAGAACACCACTGAGTTAAAGAACATGGCTATGTTAAGAGTCTATGCTTACAACCACAGTTCAAGTCCAAGTTCCAACTTCATTAACTCTGACACTTGGATATCTCAGTTTTTATCTCAATCTCGCTGAGTTTGAGATATTAGGATTTAACTGTACTTACTGTCCTGATTCCATGCATTGTTACAGGTTAGCCAAGGAAGGGTAGCCATCATGGAGGAGAACAGATAATGGAAGGCCCAGGCATTCACCATGTTGTAGTAGATCCCCACCAGTGTGGAGGCTAACACCATTGATATTCCAATACCTAAATATCAAAGGTAAACTAAAATAAAGTAAAACTTTTTTACATCAAACAAGGTTACAATGAAAACCCAGCTATAATGAAGTTTTACCAGAAGTCTCTGATGAGACTGTAGCTCTACTGGTTGTGCTTATAAAGGAGGATAAAAGTAGCACTTGGGACTTGAAACTTTGCAAAAGCAATAAATAGAATAATGATCCTTGGTTTAGTCTCTTTTTGTGGGAGGATTTATTGCAATCAGACTAAAACTGTAGGAGGGAGTAGCCTTTTAGACCAATTTTACAGAAATTCAAATTTAAGTAACCATGGCAACATCATTCAACAAAATCAAAAAAGCAATAACGACAGTTATGTATCTCAGTGTAGTCTACTTGTATGCCAAGTTATACTGAAATCAGACAAAAAGTGTAGGAGGAGGAGCATTTTGAAAGTATTTCACAGAAATTTCTATTTTTAGTAACCATGGCAACACTGTTCATCGAAATCAAAAACTGGTTTAGAGAATTATGTACAGTCAAACTTGTCATAGCAGTCACCTTTATCCAGCGGTCACCTGTCCTATGCGGTCATTTTATTTCCTCCCAATGAATTTTCCTATATAATGTAACTCTATTAAGCGGTCACCTGCGTAACGTGGTCAGCGGTAATCAAATTTCATGTAGAATCGCCGTTTTACCCCGTATATAGCGGCCATTTTGTCCAATCATGTGACCAGATCTAGAGCCTGGTGACTCCCAATTACTGTCACTAATGTAAATAATTAGTCTAGTGTGGCGAAAAAAATTGGCCTAATTAAAACCATTTAAAATATTGGATAATTTATTTATTCTTTTAACAAAAGTCAAACAAGGGTGCTAATCAATGAAATAGTTATCAGGAAAACGAACTTAGCAGAATCTTAGATTATAGAATTGGAATCTGATTTAAAAAATTCTGAGTGATATTTTAAAAAAGAAATGCATTCTTATTTATCTATTTATGGATACACAATAGTAGGTGTTTCCTAATTATTAGTTCACGTTTGGCATGCCCAACTCCGATAGGTGTTACTGTGTAAACACATGGCAGGCGGTTTTTAACACCTACATGTAGGAAATGTATTATTTGTAGAAACCCTAATTTAAAACTGTTTTGTGTATACAATGTGTCCTCACAGATTATCTCGTGATTTTCACCTAGATGTAAGACGACCGTCAGGATTAGTCACGCTTCACTGTTCACAACACCTGTGAATTTGATATAAATTTGTATTGTGCACTGCTTGGTTCAACTGAGAGTACATATGACATGTCTGTTTATTATGCAATGATTTATGTACAGGTAACTCGAAGTTCTTGATCGCTCGAAGTGAGTCTCCGGTCCCAAATTTTTTCCCTATATAACTAAGCAAATTTACTCTTGATTTCTCGAACTCTTGATCTCTCGAAACACTTGATCCCTCGAAGTCAAAATGCAGTCCCGCTATACATATTCTATTGAAATTTACCCTCGATACCTCGAAGTGGCTTTGTGTATACAAAGTTACATAATTAGCAACTTTACCTGGACATTTAATGGCCCCAGGCAGAAGACGCGGGTCTCGTGAAACGGGATGTTTATTCAGGTGACACTTATACTGCAAGGTGATAATAGATTTATAATTAATCTTATGTTGCCTATATGCTATTAAAATAATTATCATTGACTGTATTTACGATAATTTAGAAAAGCAGTGTCACTGAGAAATTGTAATTGCAGATTACAAGACGAAACACTAAATAAATTTTATTTTTATTTCGAATCAGTGTCAAAGTTTAATGAAATATGAAAATTCAGAAACAGCCTCACTGTCAATATCAAGACTATCGTTGGACAAATACTTACAGAACTTCGTTCAATGCACATGTTTGGAAAAGTCACAATGTACTATGTATCACGCGACGCTGGTAAAATGTTGTTTTCATATAACGAATGGGTGACGAATGCGTGGTATGATGTCCGTTTGATAAAGAATGAAAAACTAAACATGAACTGACGATGTACATTTTTTGCTTTACTCAGTTTAATAAATACTCATCTAAAATACGAAAACATATCGTTGTTTAAAAAAAACACGTGTTAAAGGTTAGCACTGCATGAAAATCATTACATTTGGTAAGACTAAATTTAAAACCTGTCAAACAAAACCGGAAAATTCCGGACTCTTGAAAACTCGAACTCTTGATTTCTCGAAGTTTTTCCTCGGTCCCGCGGACTTCGAGGTATCGAGAGTTACCTGTATTTTTAAACATACAATTGTTAAGTTTAATACGTAACTAAACTTGTTTTTTTAGATGCAGTTTAGATGAAAATACATCATATTTAATTCATGACATACATGATAATTTCTTAAAATAATAGAAAGTTTTGTAGTTGTTTGGATGGAGGATAATGCAATGCCCTATTAGACTCAATATAATTTTGTTGGAGTCATCAAATTTAGCTTGAAGTTAATCTTGAGACGTACTATTTAAAATTTATAAAAAAAAATGTTAGTGAGACCACTGATGTCTTATAAACATCTTTCTTTAATATTCTATTATGTAGTATTGTAAAACAGAACTTACATAAATTGGAAAAGAATTTTTCTTGAAAAAGATGAACCTCGATTCAAATGTCACCTCTCTATAAAGGTCACTTTTAATGATTCCCAAAGGTGACTGCTTAATACAGGTTTGACTGTATCTAAGTGTAGTCTACTTGTGTGCCAAGTTATACTGAAATTAGACCAAAGCTGTAGGAGGAATAGCATTTTGAAAGTATTTCCAAGAAATCTCTATTTTTAGCAACCATGGCAACATCGTTCATTGAAATCAAAAACCGATATATAGAATTATGTATCTTAGTCTAGTTTACTTGTGTGCCAAGTTTTACTGAAATCAAATAAAAATTGTAGGAGGAGTAGCGTTTTGAAAGTTTTTCACAGAAATTTCTATTTTTAGTAACCATAGCAACACCATTCATTGAAATCAAAATCCGATGTATAGAATTATGTATCTTAGTGTAGTCTACTTATGTGCCAGTTATATTGAAATCAGATCAAAACTGTAGGAGGAGTAGCGTTTTGAAAAATTGTTTAAAGACGGACAGACAGCTAGACAGACGGACGACGGACACCTTACTATCGCATAAGCTCTTCTGGTCTCTGACCAGTAGAGCTAAAAATACTAGAATAATAACAACTTAAGAAGCTTTGAAACAACAAGAGGTCCTTGGGCCAAATTCTCACCTGAGCAAATTGGATAGGAAAAAGCAGACATCAGTTTAGTATTGAAAAGTGTAAGGGGGGGGCATAAATTTACACTACCTCAGGATGCTTCCATATCAATTTTATTAACTAATCATGGCTTTGCTGTTTTTGAGCAGAAGAATTTTAAAGAGATTTTTCTTCTAGGTTTTCCTATGTAAAACTCTGATTGCTCATTGTGACCCCACCCTACCCACCCTAAATTCGAACAAATTTGAATCTACAATACCAGAGGATGCTTCTATAATAATATGACTAATCATGTCTTTGCTGTTCTGGAGCAGAAGGTTTTTTTAAGATGATTTCTATAGATTCTTATGTAAAACTTTGACCCTCTGTTGTCCCCCCAATCCGGGGGGGGGGGGGGGGGGGGGGGGGCAATACCTAAGGTTGCTTCTGTATAAATATGACTTATAATGGCTTAATTGTTCTTGAGAAGATTTTAAAGATATTTCCCATGTAACGTGTATGATCAGGTTCTTCCAAGGAATATATATATTTTATAGGTTTTCCTTTTACTCTGTCCAAGTTAATTATTGGAATGATTATTAAGACTGCTCTTTCTAAGGGTAAATCACATAGTACTAAATTTTTTCTCTTATCTAGAGACCAGCACCATGTTTCTCCCCTAGGTTCCTACTGATAGATAAGAACTGGGTGTCTCAATCTTCTTCAGATTTACTACACCCAAAACTTAGCATCAATTCCCTAGAATACTTGCCACTGGTGTTCATAACTTTTATACCTTTATTTTACTCTAACTTTTAATTTCTTTATTGTTGATTCAATGCCCAACTTCTGCTAGCTTCTGAATGCCTGACTTTCCAAAGCTTTGTCTTATATATCCTTTGACTAGTCTATTCCAAGGGTTGTCAGGTCATTCCACTAGTTGAAGTCTTCAATGCGTTTTATGCAAATGCCCCTTAATCATTACACCTGTATATTCCTAGGTAAAACTTTGGACCCCTGTTGTGTCTGCGCCCAACCCCCAGGGGTCATAATTTGAACAAACTTAAATCTACACTACATGAGGATACTTCTACATTAATATGACCAATAATGGCTTAGATGTTCTTGAGAAGAAGATTTTAAAAGATATTTCCTATACATTTCTATGGTAAACTTTGACCCCCTGTTGTGGCCCTGCCCTAGCCCCAGAGGTCTCGATTGGAACAAACTTGAATCTACACTACCTGTCGATACTTCTATAATAATATAACTTATCATGGCTTTGCTGTTTTCGAGAAGATTTTTAAAGACATTTCCTATATATTTTCTGAATATTCCTAGGTAAAACTTCGACCCCCTCTTGTGGCCACGCCCTATCCCGGTGGTTATGATATGAACAAACTTGAATCTAGAGTATGTTATGATGTTTTCACATAAGTTTCATCTTTTCTTGCCCAGTGGTTCTTGAGAAGAAGATTTATAAAAGATGCAACCAAATTTTAACAAATTCTTAATTATCTCCCCTTGAAAGAGGGTGTGGCACTTCCTGTGAAAAAATGTAAATCCCCTTCACCCAAGTATGCTTTGTGGTTTTTGAAAACAAGATGTGAAGTTTATGGATGACAAACGACAGATGACAGATGGATGCTGGATACCCTTTGATCAGAAAAGCTCACTTGAGCCTTTGACTCTGGTGAGCTAGTAACACGAGGGTGACAATTATCTAATGGAAATGAAATGGATAGCAAAGTTAACATCACCTGAACGATTCAAAAAGATTGATTTCAAAATTAATACTTCAGTATATAACAGATTACTCCTGGGAAATGTAGAACAATTCACTCAAAAAATATTTCTATTTAATCTCCTTTTTCATCTTCTTAATCTCTTTTGTCATCTTGGTAAATAGAAAAGTCTTGGATATTTCCCTTAAGTATCACTTGTAAATCCCATCTGAAATGTTTCCAGCTATTTAGCACAATGGAAAGTGTACAGATAGACTGAAAGTTTAAACTGACTTGTAAAAATGGCTCAAAGTAACCATATCTAAAGTCAACAGGATTAGGTCAAACTTGGTGTGTGACATGTTAATTAGGAATACCTATGACAATTAAACACTTTAAATGTATGTTTTTCTCAAGAACTGAAGTTTAGCATTGAGAAATCCATGTTTAGATTTATCATTAATGTACAAGACGTTTATTATGAAAGAAGGGGCTACTAATATTGTGAAATTAATAAGTTTCTTAGAAATATTTTACAATTTTAAGCAGACACCTACTTAATAGTGTTATAAGATATGGTAATAGTAAAGAAGAAAATTGATTGCATTGATAAGCTACCTTTATGACCTGAATTTCTCCAAGACTCTCAGGAGGAAACTAATGTGTGTCATTGATGTTTTATGGCCAAATTGCTTTTTGCTTGATTAAATTGATTGCCTTTAAAGGTTATTTGGCCGACATCTTTTAGGTGATACATCTTAAGTAGCTATAAATCTGTCTGTTAGTATATCTGAAGATCTTACCAATTGTTCTAGGTCAAGATTTTGGCAATACATAACATATATTGATTCAACATTAAAGGATTTTTTAATACTCTAACATATTTACATTATGGATACCATGTGAAACAGAACTTTCCCCCCAAAATGTTTCATCAGCACAGAATGTCAGACTTATGTAATCTAAAGCTATTTAAAAAAAAATCTCCATTGGCAAACTGTGTTCAACGGTAAATAAATACTCAGATAAGTGAATAAATTCAAATAGAACTGTTCTTTTAGGACAAATGACTAATGTGGGATATACTCAAGAAAAGGCATACATGTACTTGGTTACATTGCTTGTGAATGAACTTTGAAATCTTACATAATTTATAGGCTTAAACCTTTTTGAAACATAATTGGTTTAAGGATGTAACACCTCCTCTGGTTATTAATGTCAAGTACGAAAGTATGATTCTCCACAATTCCAGCAGTAAAAGGTTATATGCCCTTAAAAGATTTCAACTTCTGAGCCCTATGAGCTTGACTTTGTAAAAACCACCATGGTTAAGAACCATGACAGGAATCTTAATTAGCCCAAGCTGTCTTTGTGATAAATACCACCTCCTGATGCTTCTCTTGTATACATAAAGTCTCATATAATTCTGAACCCTTCAGAATGTTACACTTCCAAACCATTTGATCTTGTCTGAATGACATACTCTATGACCAACCCTTAGGCAAAGTAATATGATCTTCTTATGTTCTTCTATTATCTACGGTATAGGGACAAGGATTTAGCACTTCTAACCCAGTGACACTAATAGTAATATAACAGGTTCATACTCTCTGGTCACAGCATCCTCTGTCAAGCATATACTGTGAACTCCTTTATTTTCGTGGGGTCATATTTTCGTTGTATGAAGAAAAATTACAATTACTGGTTCAAGAGGATTTGATTTTGGCGTTAAAGGAGAAACATCATATTGCAGTATAAAATTCTAACATTTTATGAGAGATATGAATGTGTGAGTCTCTTCATACCACAAATACAACAAAAATAAATCCCCTAAGAAAATTAGTGATTTCTCAGTAACCTTCTAGTCCACTTTGTATGAACTCGGAAGCTTGTACTCAAAATTGTGACCAGTTAATATTCATTTAACATTTCTGTAAAGGTGACCTTGCTTAAATACTTTAGACTATAGAGTCAAGTTGTTCTATAAGTTCTTGGTTTCATTTATCTATATGCACAAGAATTTAGCTGTCATATATGTAATATATATAAATGAAACCATTATAATGCATACATTTCAATCAAATTTGACACATTAATCTGAAAATACTAAGTGCACATTTTAAAATCTTAAGGTAATTATTATTTCTATGAAGTTAAAAAAATATTGTATAGATTTAAATATCTCTGGACAAATAATACATACAAAAAGAGAGACAGACAAAGTGATTCTAATATAATCCCTTCTCCTCCCTCACCACCAAAATTAGAGGGGGACAATAAAAACAAGAAGACATTGCAAGCTTTCAATATAAGATTCCCATTGACCTTTAAAGATGGGAACAGCTCTCCACACAGTGACTGGTCCCAGACTGGCATACTGTCCAAAGGCCAGCTCCATATACACCAGTGGGATCCCACAGAATATCAACATTATGGTGTAGGGAATAAAGAATGCACCTGAAAAAGATGTCGCAACTTGAACTCATGACTCAGAAACTGTTCTGGCAGAGTTGTATGCCTGACTTCTACATGACAGTAGCAGACTGAGGTACACATGTATGCTCAGCACTATGTTTAAAACAGGAATTTCACTTTGTTCTTTTAAAGACAGAGACTCTTGAATTTCAATGTTTCTTATGATGTCATATATGACACCATAAGGTTAGAGAAATTATGATATAAAATTGTTTCAACTTTTGAATAATATACAGTTGAACCTCGGTATCTCAACACTGATATCTCAAATACCATGCCATGGATATGTCGAAGTGATTTGGAAGTCGTAACCTCTTATTTTTTAAAAGTATTTTACCCTTTTTGATATCTTGAATCATTGGATATCTTGAAGTTTTTCTTGGTCCCATCGAATTTGAGATAAAGAGGTTTGACTGTATATTATTTTTTTTAAATTGGATGAAAATTAAACATTTAACATGAAATTGTAATGGGAATGGTGTTATGAAACATCCAATATTTGTATTAAGGGTTTTTTTTTGTATTTCAATCTTTTTAATTTGTCCTCCATTCTTCAAGATCAGTTTTATGGGAACATTAGGTTGATTTCTGCAATACCAAGATTGAACTACAGTTTATTCCCATTTTTATAAATGAAGATTTGTGTTCAAAAAATCTTTCTTTTATAAATCAATTCTCATCCAAAGTGACTTCCCACATTATTGGTATCCTTCATAGTTTACCTACCTCCACCATTTCTGAACACAAGATATGGAAACCTCCAGACATTTCCTAACCCAACTACATAACCCAGACAGGACAGGACAAAGTCCATCCGACTGCTCCAGTTGCCACGGTGATTCGTATCATCCTCGTCCTCACTCTCTCCGTTGTCCACAGCCATCAGATCTGTCAGGTAACCACCACTCATCTCTGGGTCTTCATCCGGATTAACCTGAATTTATTTATATAGTTTTCTTTTATCTGGATCAATCTGGATTGAAATTCTAAAACCTACTTTTCACATTATTTCATTTATCATCATGCTATAAGAAATCGTAAATATATCACACATCTTTAAGAAAGTTATTAAATAAATATTTCATAGTCATCAAGTTCAAATGCATGCACTTTTTTTTGTATATAAACAATCTGTTCTTAAAATCCTCTTCACAAATATATAAATGTTAAACATTTCATGACCCTGATTCAAGGACTTGAATCTAACAACAAAAAAATATGAATCCTTTATTTAAAAATTTGGTTTAAAATAAATCTCTGTTCAATCAATTCTTGTTATCACATTAATAAGCAAATTAAAAATGAGCTTGTTTAACCCATTGTCAGATTTAATGTACATGCAATTAATGTTTTTGTTTGCTCTACGCATCCCACTTTACGAATAAACCTGCAACTTTAGTCTTTTCATGGAAAACAAAATAAACATTTACTTTTCACTGATTAAAATATTAAAACCCCTAAAGGGAAAACACAATTATCTTTCTCATAATAGTGTACAGTGTTTCAGTTTCTGCTAAGCTCTTGTCAACAAAGATCCTTGCATCAAATGAACAGACTTAAACCCTAGCTTTTATTAATTATTTAGTTGACAGTTGGAACTCGATCTACAAAATAATCAATTTCACAGATATAAGGTGTTAGAGAAATATTATAGCTATGTAGCTTTAAACTCTTACATTACACTTGCGTGTTCGATCACTAACAGAAAATCATAATACGAAAAGTGCATGTACTTGTCTTTGTGAAGTTCTTATGAGATTAAGGGTATAACCCCTTAACTTAAATGGAAATATGGTATAAGGATGCTTTCAATGTGTAAACTTGAGTTTTTCTCATTTTTCAATAAAAGGCCAATGTTCTGCACAATTCTTCAATCAACTTTACATGAGGACATTTACATAATTGTTTGATATTTGTTAATTGCTTAGTTTTCTAGGAAAGAATTTTTAACAATTTGTATACAATGCCTTTATTGTACAATATACTGTATACACTGAAACACAAAAGAAATTTTAGGGGGAAAATTATATACAGGTTATAACTTTGTACTTAAAAAAGTTAGGTTGAAAGATAACATTCAATAATGAATACAGTAAGGTAAAAAGTAAATTTACAAACATCAGATATTTGAATTTAAATGTTGAATGTTATCTTTAACCTTAACAAGAATAGATATGGGTTACCCCATATCCAAGATATTCGGCTTTTAATTTATTCGAATTTTCATTGTGCTCAGATGATTTCTAATTAAAAAAAAACTATTTACTGATAAAACGTCAGAGATACTCAAGCTGTAGAAAGTCAACTATACAATGGCCATAAATATCCTAAAATGACATAATATTTAGGCTACTGAGTTTCAACATCTTTTGTTGAATAAAATATGCATGTACTAAGGAAACTACAAGTACATATATAACGTTACATGCGTGTAGTGACTTTTATTATCACAACGTTGCAGATGCCTAAAAAATACAGGTAACTCTCGATACCTCGAAGTCCGCGGGACCGAGGAAAAACTTCGAGAGATCAAGAGTTCGAGTTTTCAAGAGTCCGGAATTTTCCGGGTTTGTAGACTGGTTTTAAAATTAGTCTTACCGGATGTAACGATTTTCATGCAGTCTCAACCTTTTTACATGTGGCTTTTATAAAACAACTATATTTTTTCGTAATTTAGATGAATATTTCATTAAACTGAGTAAAGCAAAAAATGTATATCGTCATTTCATGTATATTTATTTATTCTTTGTAATACAGACATCATACTACGCATTTGTTACACGAAAACTACATTTTACAGCGTCGTACACGTATAAAGCATGGACTATTCCAAACATGATCACTGAACGCAGTTTTTTAAGTATTTGTCCGATAATAGTTGTCATATTGACATTGAAGCTGTTTCTGCTTTTTCATATTTCATTTAACTTTGACACTGACTTGAAATAAAAATTAAATTAGTGTTTCGTCTTTTAATCAATTACTACTTTTCACTGACACTGCGTCTCTCAATTATCGTAAGACAGTCGATGATAATTATTTTAATAGCATATAGGCAAAATATGGTTCATTATAAATCAATTATCACCTTGCAGCATAAGTGTCACCTGAATAAACATCCCGTTCCTCGAGACCCGCGTCTTCTTCCTTGGGTCATTTAAATGTCCAGGTATAGGTGCTAATTATATAACCTTGTATACACATAGCCACTTCGAGGTATCGAGGGTAAATTCTAATAGAATATGCATAGAGGGACTGCATTTTGACTTCGAGGGATCAAGGGTTTCGAGAGATCAAGAGTTCGAGAAATCAAGAGTAAATTTGCTTAGTTATATAGGGGGAAAAATCGGGACCGGAGACTCACTTCGAGCGATCAAGAACTTCGAGAGATCGAAGTTCGAGCCATCAAGAGTTACCTGTAGTTTTAATTTCACATAGAACATAGACTAAATATAATTAACTGTATAATTTTAAAGATGTATTTATCAGCTCACTCATTTTCAGGAATATTTAATCCAAATAGCATGTTACAGGCCTGTAGCAACGTTTTCAAAGTGAAGGGGGGGGGGGGGGGGGAGGGGCTCCAAAAAAATCCAGCGTACTATGGGCCTGTGCTACATGTGTACCATCTAACTTTCCAATGATAGAATCTTCTGTAAAAATTCGAGACAAGTCCAAGCAAAGATCAAAGATAGCCCAATTTTTTAAAGAGCAAAACTATAGATCTATCAAGGATAGTTTTAATTTATTTTTTTAATTTTGTGCTATTAAAGTACTATAACTCAAAGTATAGGCAGATGTTAAAAATGGGTCAACAAGAGTAATCAATGAACTCGTCTAGAGATGCATTGACGGCCGTTGTTAAACGCAAAGGAAAACGCAAGATCGGTTGGGGGCTGTGAACATTCCTTCGTCATGGAATAAAATCCGACATTTAACACTTAATATAGATTTTGAATATAGAGACGTTTTGAATATAAACTTCATTTTTATTTCTAGAAATGTTTTTAATTACAAAAATAGTATATTTTCGTGTTTTTAAACTGAGTAGATCAATGACCTAGCATCGTTTTAGATAACTCAGTCCCTCTAACCCAGTCTAGGGCTTGAATAAAAAAAACTGCACTTGTTATGAAACTGGTGTTTAGTTCTTCTTCATGTCCGTAGCAAATATTGATACCCAGTCTACATGATCTAAGCGTCTCTAGCGAACGGTGCACATACCTGTGCTTGCAAGACCAAATAGACTAGGTTTACACACGTGCGAAGATCCTTTCCGACGAGCTCGGCAAATCACGTTGCTTTGCCGAGAAGTTACGATTGCAGGTGTTTAACCACAATAACCATTCTATTATTTAAAAAAAAAGAGAAGAAAAAACACACAGTTAATGATTAACATTCTCACTCAAAAGAAAATATACGGCAATTAACGAACAATAATCATGACAGTTATATAATTGGTGAAAAGATTTATCACTATCAATCGAAGGATGACCTATATATTTTCGAGAAAAAGACTGAGGAGGCAGAGAGCGTAGGAATATGAAAACTTTTTATTTTCTTTTCTGGGGAAAAGTGATTTTCTTAAAATCGTTTTGCGTTAATTTTGTTTTCTTTAACGTATTAGATATACATCATTATTCTTAACATTTGTTGTAATGTTGTATCTACTGATCATGAATGGAACTATTTTCTTCGGAGCAATTGTGTGAAGAGTACCTGACTTTAGTAATATATCTTGAATAGATAATATGCACTGATCGAATATATTAAAAAGTAACACATAACTCTTAATAATCCCCCCTTCCAACCATTCAATTACAGCGTGCTAGTCCGCCATGTACAACAGTTGCAGCTCGATTTCTACGATGCATTAGGTTTATCAATCTCTTGCTCTGAGTGAAAGAAATATTCATAAGCATTTTTAAGTGCCTGTTTTTCAGATAAGGTCGAATTTTCTCAAACCTGGCGTAGTGTAGTAAACCTTGGACTTCCGGTCAAAGAACTGTCATTCATGCTTATGAAACGCATGAACCTGATGAGTCGTTATGTAGTGCATATTTGCATCTGCAACTCTCCTTTACCTTTATTTTGAGAATTTCCAGCAAGAGCAATGAAAATGCATGCTTTCAGTCATTTTGAGGAAATATTGGCATCACATCAGGAAAAGAAAGAAGGATTTTTTTTTTCAGAATATTAGTGCAATACTTATGATTAACAGCTACAAACCCTTGAGAACCCAAATTATTTATTAAACATGCATTTTTTGATTTCTGTTAAGAGGGCTTAAAATCAACTTCCGGTAATGGAATGAAAATCATTCAACAGTTAAATTACTGATTTGGCAAAGTTGAAGATGCCCTAACTTTTTAAAGTACAAAGTTATAACTTGTATATAATTTTCCCCCTAAAATTAGGATGTTGCATTTCTTTTGTGTTTCAGTACCCATTTATAAAGCATCAAAAACAGCTCCACTGTTTATATGCCAAAGTAATATATACCCTCATAGCCCCAACCTCCCAAATAAAAGACATTCATTTTTATCTTTAAAACATTAAAACATACTTAGGCTAGGGGTTCAAACTATGAACAATCTATCTATACTAACTTAGAGAGTATTTAATTTGGACACCAGCTAGTAGCACTGTATACTTCTGAGCCAGATGGCTTTTCAAGGTTGTTTTTTAAGTACACATATAGCCTCATTACAATGTACTGGACTGTAGGACATGGTTTGAATAAAAATGAATCTATATACATGATGATACCTGCATGTCACTTGACAACAAGTAGTTTTTAATTTAAAAATTATTTTAATTTAAATTTTAAAATTTAAAAAGATATGAAATCTATCTATCTATCTATCTATCTATCTATCTATCTATCTATCCAGGTGAAACTTTTGACTTCTTTCATGGTTTTGTCAATTACCG